TATTATACTGTACTAGGACTTCGCGCTTAGACTTTAGGGCTCGCGCCCCGGGTTGCGGCTTTCGAGTTGAGGGACTAGCCCTCACCGAACTCGAAACGGTGATCCTTAAAGGGGACCCTATTGTAGAACCCTGTGGTGCCCTTCTTAGAAAACCCTAAACCCTTGAAGGAGCGCGTTTGAAGGAGCCCTTTGAAGAGTCAGAAAGGATCCCGGATCCTTCAGAGCTGCTCTCCACAGCTTGACAGCTCCCAGTCCAAGCCAAGCTCCAGGCAGCACGAAACCGCTACCATGTCTCTATATATATATATACATACATACATACATACATATCTATGCGATATGGTAACCCCCCCAATATCGACCATCCTCGACTATGTTATGACCTAGGGGGACGAGGAAGCGACAATATCGCCGAAATCAATATCGCCGCACTTGGACAGGATGTAAACATAAGCTATCACAAAATAAAAGCAGCAAAAAAAAACAACAGACACTACACTTTCGAAGCCAATGCACAAACCAAAAGAAATCCGCGAAACAACAAAAACCAACAAAAACAAAAAAAATCTCAGAGACTATGAATTAAAGCCAAAAAACAAAAGCCCAAAAAAACACAAAGGCAAAAACAAAAATAACAAAACATAACACAACGACAACAAACAACAAACAAAAAAACAACCAAACACCCAAAAATGTTATGCCTGTGTTCCGATCATTTCAGATTTTGGTGTGCTTGGTTCTGTTCTTTTTGCTTTTTTGTTTTCTGGGATTATTGGTTCCACACATCGTCTTTGATATTTTGGGCTTTCGTTTTTTTGTTTCTGTTTGGTTGGTTTGGTTCAAACATAATCACTGCAATGCTGTTGCGTTTGCTTTTTGTTGTGGAACATAGATCCTAAACCTACGCGGCAAGCGTATGTTGCACTTTAATCTGCGTCCTTTTCCCTTCCGAAGACGCAATACATAATGACATAATATGTCACGTACACATACGCATATATATATATATATATCTCTCTCTCTCTCTCTGTGTATCATGTGCACAGTCCATATCTGCCCTGCTCAGGTACGATCGCTGCTCGCAGATCTCGTCGAGGGGCATCTTCTTTTTTTTGGGAACATGCAGTAAAACCTCGAAATTGGGAGGAAGATCAGCAGAAGCGGCATGCAGTACTAGTAAAGGTCAGAAAGATACACAGAAGCCATTGCACGCAGCATCGAAGGTTGATCTGCTCCTCAGAGATAGAAAGCAATCGAGTGATGACAGCGTCGACTGAGATAAATATGCCGCTGCTCGTAATTCTCGCCTCAGAATTGTGCTTGCACCACACATTGTTCTGCGCATATGGTCTCCGTCAACATCTCCCTGCTACGTCTATTCTTGCACGGCTCAAAATTAGCTCGGTAATTTAGTCCTTGTTGGCTTTCCTCATACCTCACGAACCATCGGCCTCTCGCAATGTCGCATCCGCAGTTAGGCTGCTGTGAACATTGCGCTTTCCTCCTTACCTCAGTATGCTCGCAATGTCGTGGTTGAAGCTCTCGCCGGAAATCCGCTCGCGGATCATCTCGTTCTTAGTGGGACGCTCGCCGAATGACATCTGCTCTCCCACCGCGCCAGTGGAGCATCCAGTGCTGATCGGCTACATGCCACCAAACGGCTGCTATGATATATCCAACAGCTTTTGTCTTCGTAAGACTTTGTCTAACTGATCGCTTCTCTCCTGTCATATAGCTCCCCTATCGTATAGAAAGCATCCTGAGGTGATGGAGTCGAATGCTTCCCTGCTTCGGTCTACCAGGTCACATGGAGAGCGGAGGAGCTCTTAGAGGCAGAAGAAGACGTGTTGTGCAGGCCACTGCGAAGGTAGTGCGCCATGCAGGTTTTTTTCCAGAAGACTGTACTGGGCAGACATCATGTGACGAGAGAACAAACGCAAACAATGAGCAGCCAGGGTCGGTCGATACGGGGGGGCTAGCATGTAGATAGATAGATAGATAGATAGATAGATAGACAGATAGACACACCGATACATCGATACCTCGTCGATACATACATACATACATACATACATACATACATACATACATACATACAGACATACAGACAGACAGACAGATAGACAGACAGACAGACAGACATAAATACATACATACAGGCATGCTCAGTACATATATAGATATACATAATATATAATATCTATATATATATATATAAATA